CTCGTATTAGGAAGGCTAATTTTTGATCAGAATTTTTGATTATTGATCAGAAGGTGCTCCTAATTTTTTTAAATTAGGAGGACAGGCGCTCCTAATTACAAGAAGAAAAAACTGCTCATATACTGTGTGTGTGACAGGTATGGCTGAGGAATGGGGTTTGGTCGAAGAAAAACTTTCAGTCAGAAGATTTTTTTTTTTTTGCTTTAACCCCTGCAATATAATAAGAAGTAGAATAAGACAAATAAAAGTTACCAATCATATGAAATTAGTATTAATAAATTAATTTGTACTACAGAGCTGGCAGAGAAGAACACAAGTGGCTTGTAGGTACATTTTCAGACGTTTAATGAGGCTCAGAGGTGGCATGAGTGCAATTAAATTCATAAATTCATGTGGAGATTAATGTTTTAAATATAAAATTTTGAATACAGAAATATGATTTAAATAACTGAAATTATACGCTAAAAATGAAACTAAATCCGCCAACAGGTGGCGGCAAGTCACGATTTTATCACTGAATCATTAATTCAATTGATTTGTTCGAACGGCTGAATCATTCAGGAATGAAGCAAGTGACTGTCTTTATGAACTGATGGAAATCCGTCGTAGCGACGGAACTTTAATCCCTGCTATATTCATGAATATTAAGTTGTTGGGTTTTTTTTTTTTGGTTAAAATAAAAAAAATCACACATGCACAAACCAACCACGTCCAGCCTCCAACCAAGAATAGTTATGTATAACACCTTAAATTAGATGATATACATGCAACCTCATCTCATTATTATTCATAGGTTTTCATACTAAAAGCGTGGTTCAAGCACACGTTTCCATGCATTTGGAAAGACACTAAATATACAAAATGTACAAAAAAAAATGCATGTATGCACTTTATGGATATGAACAAGATCACAATAAAAAAAAAAAAGCCTGCCTGTTTAATTCTAATATCTAGCGTGGAGAATGGTCTTGAATAGGTGAATTATGACCATTTTGATATTATAAACATTATAACTGGACCTAACGTCAATAGATAAAGAGAAATAAAGAAATAAAAAATAAAAAATGGATATGCATTTACACTTCACATTCAAATACCTGTGAATATTTAAATATATTTGACTTGTGGCTTTCATCTTTTGTTGTTAATGTGTGAGCTTCTGTTTGCGGTTACCTCTTTATTATTACCCCTCTGAGCAGCTGTCTTACCAGAAATGCCTAGAGATTTAGCATAATGTGTGATTTATCTGAGTGAACAGCAGTGACTGTAAACACATCCAAAATAAGCAGAATGTGTGATTTAAGTCACTTTAGCATCAACTAATGCAAGTTTTGCATTAACATTTTCTTAATCAGAATAACCAATATCAAAGCATTTTTTTTTAACATGAAAGATTAAAAATGTCATTATTTACTCATCCTCATGTCATTCCAAACCCATATGCTGTATGCAATTCCTTACACTGAAAGCTAATTGTGACAAAGCATGTTAAGCTCCAAAAGAACCAAAAATAAACAAACAAAAAAGCCCCAAAGGAACTATAAAAATAGTCCATTTGACTCATGCATTAGATTCCAAGTCTTTGTAAGCCATACGATAGCTTTGTGTGAGGATCAGACTGAAATGTAGCTCATTATTCACTGAAAAGGTCATGTTCACTGGCTCGTCATGTTTACAGGTGAGAAATTATGTTCTGTTTGGTCAATGTACCATTTTTAAATCTAAATGCAAAGGCAAATGAGATTTCAGAGCTTCAGTGGAGGGGAAGATTATCAATGAAGGGGAAAACAAACTTTCTTTCTGTTCCTTACATAAACTATCACAGCAGACTCAGAATATAGCAAATAATTTGTATGGGCTACTTACTTTTTTAAGTTTTTTTTTTTTTTTAATGCTGTTTTTTGAAGCTGTATGGCCATGGTCGCTATGAACTGCCATTGTATGAAAAAAAAGATTGTCCTTTTTGTGTGTCACAAAAGAAAATAGCCTATGGGTTTGTAATGGCATGTGCGCATCCAGCCCTCCTGCCAGGACCTATACACCTCCAGAGTGAGGAAAAGGGCAAGAAAACTAAATCATGAAAGCTACACACCCAGGACATAATGTTTTTGTACTTCGGTACAGACCACTGGGCACCAGAAAAATTCAGGAATAAGAAGTTCCCATATCCATCTATAACTGTTAAGAACCACTACTGTATGGTCCATTACTTTTACTAATATTATATTGGACATTATGCAATAAAAAAACAGTACCTAATATATATTGACATGGTTGAAACACACTGCACACACCTGTTAATGTTTCCGTTTACTCAGTCTAGATGTTCATTCTTGCAATGTATCTTGTATTTAATATACGCAAGTGCTCAGAGTTCCTGTAAACCAAAAAAATAAACCCTCCACTTGGCCAATGAAGTTTTTTCTGATTCTGTTTGACAGCATTTTTATTTTATTGGGGGAAACTATTCCTTTAACAGCTGAGGGGTTTATAAATAAACTACCATTCAAAGGTTTAGGGTCGGTAATTTATAATGTTTTTAAAAGAAGATGCTCACCAAGGCTGCATTTATTTGATCAAAAATAGTTTTAAAAAATGAAAAACGAATTTTAAATTTTAAAAATGAGAGTTAAAAATTATTACAATTTAAAATAAATGTTTTAATTTATTTTATTTTAGTTTAATTTAATATATATATTTTTTTTCTTTTTTTTTTTTTTTTTTTTTTACAA